AAAAAAAAAAAAAAAAAAAAAACAGCAAAAACAAAAAACCCCAATACTTAAATACTCATATTTTTCGATCACACCTGATATACTGCTGGTGTGAATGTAAAATGGGGAAGTCTTTTTTGGAAAACAATCTGGCAGTTTGTTACAAACTTAAACATGTGCTACTGGGTATGGTAGTGCAGGCCTGTAATCTCAGCACTCAGGAGGCTGAGGCAGGAAGATTTCCATGAGTTCAAGACCAGTCTAGGCTACATAGTGAGTTCAAGGCCATCTTGAACTATATAGTAAGACCCTATCTCAGTGCCCCTGCCCCCAAAAAAGCAAAGTTAAACAGATACTTATCTGACCCAGCAATCCTACACCTAGGTATTTACCCTAGAAAAATGGGGAAAAAAATTATATGTATATATACTATTTTTTTTTGAGACAAGCTCTTCCTATGTACTTCAGGGTGGCCTTGAAGTCACTATGTAGTCAGGCTGGCCTCAAACTTCCTTCTGCCTCAGCCTCCTGAGTTCTGGAAGTATAAGCATGGGCCATGACAACTGGGTTTGGAAACATATTTACACAAAAATGTGCATGAATGTTCATGGCAACATTACTCGTAATTGCCAAAAACTAGAAATAATCCAGACAACCTTCAATTAGTGAATGGATAAAAAAACTACATACATCCATAGAGTGGAGTATTACTCAGAAAGACTGATACATGCAACATGGATGACTCAAATGCATTATGCTAAGGGAAAAGACAAAACTCAAAGGTGATATGATTCCATTTGTATGACAGTCTGGAAACGGCAAGGTTCTAGGGACACAGAACAGATCAGTGGTTGTCGAGGGGCCCGGGGTTGGGGAGGACTGACTACAAAGGTGCATGATTAAATCTGGCAGCAGGAAGGCCAGGGATCTAGCTCAGTGGCTCTGCCGCCTGCTTTGCAACCGCAAGGTCCCGAGTTTGATCCCTGGTACCAAAAAAAAAATGTGATCAAATTTGGCAGCAGGTGAAATGTGGTTAATCTTGCATTTGTGGTACTTATATGACAACGTCTGTCATATTCTGAGTTGTAACTGTGCTCCAAAAAGAATTTTATTTGTATAAAATTTTTTTAAATAAACGTAAAATATAAAACAAAACATTACGGACTCATCAGAATGGTCAATGACTCCAATCCAAATTACCTGTTTACTGACGTTTTTTCTAGTTTTCTGGGACAGGATCTCACTATGTAGCCAGACTAGCTTCAAACTCATGATCCTCTTGCCTCAGCCTCCTGAGTTCAGGGATTATAGACATACACCACCACCCTCAGCTTCCTCACAACTTTCATGAAGCCCAATTGTGGATAATGCTGACCAAGTACAGCGGAATGAAATGACAGTAATAACCTGATTTGTGCTATGTAATATACTATGGTTGTCTTTGGACTACTCAAATTTCTAACTTGCACTTCCTCAGAATGCCAAGAGGTAAAAACAGGCAAGAACTATGGGATGTTTGAGGAAATAATATAATAACTAACCCCTACTGGTACCTACTATGAGGAAATTATGTCCTATGAAAGTCACAGGGGGGAAAAAAAAAAGTCACAGGGACTCTGGAAAGTCCATGCTTTCGAGAGATACCACTGAAAATATTCAGGGCTAGGGATGTAGCTCAGTGATAGAGCACTTGCCTAGTACATGCGGAGCTCTGGGTTCTAGTCCCACAACTGCAAACAATCAGAAAGACAGAGGGGAGGGGAGGGGAGGGGAAAAAAACCATAATGATTCTATCAAAAACAAGATTGTAGGGCTGGGGATTTAGCTCAGTGGTTCCGCTGCTTGCCTCACAAGCACAAGGTCCTGAGTTCGATCCCCGGTACCAAAAAAACCCCACATGATTGTGTGTGGTGGTGCACACCTGTAATCTCAGCACTCTGGAGGTTGAGGCAGAAGATCACCACAAGTTTCAGGCCAGCCTGGGCTACATAGCAGACCCTGTCTCAAAGAGAAAAGCAAAAAAACAACCAACCAACCAACAAAAACAACAACAACAACAAAAAAAGACTGTATGGGTGGATGGGAGTTCAATTAAATAACCAATTCTATTGTACCTCCCTTCACCTGTACTATTCAAACTGGTTGACAGGGTGAGAATGAGAAACCCTAATTATTTTTCCTTTTAACATCCTTGTACCTTGAAGTAAAATCCAGTTGCCATCTTATTACTGTATTAAAAGTATCTGAAAAAAAAAAAAGAAAAAAAAAGTATCTGGGGGCCGGGGACTTAGCTCAGTGGTTTCAACGTCTGCTGCACAAGCGCAAGGATGCGAGTTCCATCCCCGGTACCAAAAAAAAACAAAAAAACCCCCAAAAAGTATCTGGGGATGTAGCTCAAAGGCACAGAGCCTGCCTGGTGAGTGCAAGACCCTGAGTTCCATTCCCGGTAGCAAAAATGAAAAAACAAAAAATAGTATCTGAACTTTCAGAGAGTGAGGAAACAGGGAGACCTGGCAATTGGTATAA